AAAGGAGTGCGAAGGGGGCACCTAATGACAGCAAATGAAGGGCAAACCCAGCTTCCCAGGCCGCTGGCCTGGGGTGTGCAGCAGACACTGTCCTTCCCTAAGTTAAGACACATTCTTTGTTATACTTGATTAAATGGAAGAATAGCAATTTATTTAGGTGCAAGTCCGTGAGCTGTGGCATCCTGGAATCCACACCTCTGAGTTAGGTACGACACACTTTTTTGCCTGGGCGAGAAGGAGGTGAGGACACTGGCAGGGCACGCGAGCAGCCTGCGTGCGCTGGGGCTGCCAGCTCCCGGTACGGCACGGGCTTGGGGCGCTTGAGGGGCCAGGCCACCCTCTCCGCGTGCCCCTTACCAGCCAGGCTGGAGGAGAGAGGACACAAGGCTTTTAACAGTGCCCAAGTCTCTCATTTTCCTCCAGAATTAGAGTCACGGCCACGGGGACAGCAGTGGACTTTGGCCTAGTGAGGGACAAGGCTGCCTCGCTGCTCATTCTGTTCCCTTTGGGGGAAGGTCGAAATCCTTCAGGCCAAGATTCTGGCAAAGAAACACAGTCTTTCAGACACCTGCCTTTAATTATTGGGTGGCTTGCACAGCACCCTCCGCTTTCTCCCCCACCGCCCCACCTACCCCTAGGTCTCATACTCCTGCTGTTCTGTAGGCCCTGCAGGGGACATTCTCCAGGGATTTCTGACTTGAGTCATCCAGTCAGCCTCAGGCCCCTTTGGACTTTCCAAATAGCCTGGTGAGCACTGGGCTGTGACGCCGCAGGAATGCCTGTGGGTGGGGGCAGAGGGAACCATAAAGTCTATAAATCAGAGTACAAGTTTATCGCATTTACATTAGAGCAAGAGGGCTTTTCCCCAAGGGGAATTTCACCCCAGGACCCAGGGCCACAGACCTGCCTGTCTTGCTCTCTGCCTGTGAGCTTCAAGGAGCAGGTCCTTTTTCTCTAAACCCATCAGCATGGCTCTGTCCCTTGTCACTTGGAGGGGGGGGGGGCTTGTCTGCTCTGAGCCACTGTGAAGAGGGTTGAGAATGGACAACTCACCACATCAAATGCTGGGCACCAAAATAGCACAGGCTCCAAATATCTAAACAGAAGCAATGAGGGACAGTTAGGTAGTTAGAAAACCAGGTGGGTGGCCTGGGACTGGGCTTAAAGCAGCATTTCTATAAGAAACACCCCATTTTTACCTATCCTGGATCCTACTGGAAGGGAAGAAGTTGAGGAAGATGGAGAGAGAGGGTAAACCTCCCTGTTGTCCACAGCCCCTTCCCAGTCTCCCCGTTGGTTCTTGTTCAGGTTTTGATAGGTAAGTGGTTGGGACCAATCTCCATTCTAGTGGCAAGCTGGAAGCTGGTGCACCCTAATGAGGCCAGTGGGAACCCCTCCCCCCTCTACCTGTTGTCCTAGGGGTGTGTAGTGTGTGAGCCACCAGCAAACTCATCCACATTGAAAGCTTGTGACTGAGAGGGGCTGCTCTGGAGGAGCAGAGGGGACCACCAGACCATTGCAACCTGTGAAGTGCCCTGTCCGCAAGGGTTAGTTCAGGGGTTTCCTCCCATTCTGGTGAACGTGTCTTGCCAAGTTCACTGCAGTCTTCGCGGGAGGGCTTCAGATGACTTTCATGGCTTTCTGCCATTCTTTCCCACAGCGTAACTGACCACCTGGAACCCAGCACCCAACCGTGGCCTTGCGTTTATGGCCCCAGAGCCAGCAGGGGACCCATGTCCTTGTGAGAATGTGGGAATGCTGGCTGCCACCTGAGTGGGAGGTCTGACTCAGCTTAACCGATGTCATTCCCCTGCCTTTGATCCCCACAGAGAGAGCCAGAAAAAGACATCCTGGCCAGATCCCTCTTCTGAGGGCTACCCTTAGAACACTGGTGACCACATATTTCATCTGAGAGAAGAGAGGGAGACAACTTAATAGCACTCCAAGGGCTGGATTGTATTTATTTTTGTGAGTGACACAATTTGCAGGGCCCAGCCTCTACTTCCCACTGAGGGAATATTGTTAGTTTGCCTGTTAGGTTCTCACTGGATTTTCAGCTGCTGCTTGAAGGTTTCTCTTTTTACAGAACAGAGAACAACCAGAGACTTGTTTTCTAAAGAAGAAAGCTTGGTGTTAGAAGTTTTTCAAACCTCTGAGTGGGGTTGGGGGTGGGGGAGAGGTCCAGTGAGAGTGTGGGGAGCCTGGCCTTCGGGGACCTCAGGCCAGTAACCCACAGGGTGGCTGTCCCTGTGCTTCCTGCCACTCCTAGCTGCTGATGCTGTGTCTCACCATTTTGGCTAAAGACTTCCATAAGTGGGCTCTAGTTCATTACTAAACCAAACACCCCCTTTATCACTAGACTGACCTGTGGCCTACTAGACATTTCCAGGTGAGTTTCCTGAATGAAGGAAGAGGGACTAATGGTCTCGTGTCAGCCTGTGGGCTGTAAACACCACCAGAGCAAGTTACATCTCAGGGATACAAACAGTCATTTGTTTCTTGTAAATTTTTCCAAAAGGGAAAAAGTATTTCTTTAAAAATGAGCCCTTGCAAAACTGAGTGGCTCGGGGGGTGGCCTGGTGGTGTGCCTCTGCTATTCTCTGCTGTTTCCTCTGTGTGCTCTTGAGGATGGCAGTGGCGGAGAGAGGAGGGGCTCGTTCCTGGCTCAGTCATGGCCTTTGGTCACCTGCAGATCAATTTCATGGGTAATGCTGGGGGAAAATTGACCTGGGCCCTGTTTTGTGACAGCCAGACCCAAAACCTCGATGACACAGTGCTAGTGTCATAATCCCAGAACGTAACATAATTGGGAATTAGTGCTCCAGACACTGAGGTTAGAAACAACAGCCCCAATGAGTGCATTTTAGACCAAGTTTACTAGGAAAAATCATTTTCATGCTTCTTCAGTGGTCCTGGCAGTTATCTCCCTTGTAAGTACTGTGCAAATGTCATGGGGTTGTAGCAGGAGGGAAAATACCCTTAGCTTTGTTTTTTCTTCTTGTTTACTTTTTGAGGTTTGCAAATTTTGATCAACAGGCGTGGATAGTAAGGCTGGGCTTTAAATGAACTCTTAAAAAAAGCTCACTTAATGCACTGTCATTTTAAGAAAGTGATTCCAGCCCTGTTTTCTGGTGTCTGTGGCAACAAATGTGTGGGTATATCCGAAACAGTATGTTTCTATTAAAACATACCCGTGCCGTCTACGCCTCTGCGAGGGAGTGGGCATCCTGCATGTCGCTGTGTATGAGGAGTGACAGGTTGTCCGTCCTAGTCAACTGCGTTGACAACCCGCTGAAGCAACTCCCCACCAGGCAGCACAACCTTCCAAACCTTCCCTCTGCTCCCTCCCTCTGAAGCCTGTGCCCTTCCTGCACAGTTTGTAAACATTGTCACTGAGGGGTTGGGTGCTCCAGTTGGGGCATCTGAAAGGATGGACAAAATGAACCATATCCCAGTGGCCGCAGTGAGTCCCCTCACTGCCTTGCCGAGCCACAGAAGTGGTCGGCCTCAGTACATTAGATCCGCAGCTACAGTCGTCGTCTCTGTGTCTTTCGATTTTGCGAAGGGGAACTGAAATCCAGCAAGGCGTATGAGGAGCCCGTTCAAAAAATGAACAAAAAAGCAAATGAAAACTACCCAGAATGAGGTGGTGTATTTTTCACTTTGCGTTTTGTAGGCGTAAGTCCCTTCTTTATAATTTGCAATTTTTTCTGAGAGGTGGTGAAGTTTCACTTCGGAGGCGAACAAAATCATGACAAGACAGCCGCAGGAGCCTGCAACAGAAGGAACAAACAGCGTTGGGACGGGCATTTCCCGACTGAAAGGCGCAGGGAAGAGCGGATGTGCAGACTCGGGAAAGCCTTGTACCGCGGCCCTCATTTGCATTTGTCTGCAAAAGTATATCATTTCCAATTAGCAACCACGGCCTGAGTCCCCACCAGGTGGTGGGAGTGCCCGGGCGCCGGCTCCGAGTGAGCAGACGTGGGGCCCTGTGGAGCTGACCTTACGGAGCCGGGGAGCTGCTCCCTGCGTGCGAGAAGGCTGCGCTGCTGGGCATCTTAAGGGCATGGTGGTGAGATCAGGCACAGAGCAGCCACTGCTGTGATGTGGCTTCAAGAGAACAGGTTTCTCAAAATACTTCACAGCCCTGCAGGAGAAATGCCTTCACACCACCCTGTGCAAGGCCCGGCTGCCTTCAGAGGGTCGCATGACTCCGCCTCCCCCCCAGAGGGGTCCCTGAGCAGAGGCGGCCTGGGCGAGGTGTGGAGGACAGGCTGCCTGTTCTTGTTGGGAACAGAGCTCAGGAGTTTCGCCTGGGCGCATGGCTGCCTTGAATAAAGACTACACTGCTTGGCTGAGAGGGGCTGGGATGCAGGGGCAGAAAAGTCTCTTCGAGGTATGCACGCGCTAGGGCCTCCCTCCTTCCCATAGCCCAAATACCGAAGCTTTGGCTGCGGCTCCCGCAGACGCTTCGGGTGGCCTCAGAAATGGAAGCCACGTGCTTTGGATAAACAAGAGGAGGAATCTGCATCCCAGATACCTGGAGCCACCAGATCAACCCTGGACTTCCACCTCTAGGTTCTCATGTGAGATAAAAATAAACATCTATTTTGTTTAATCCACTATTATTATTTTTCTCTCATTTATCACTCATTGGCAGCCTAATAATAGAGTTTTAACGTGTGCAGCTGCCATCTCGGTGAGACCTCTGCAGGACAGGGGCATCCATACAGATCGGTGCCTAAAAACTCTAATAGGACCTCTCCCCCTGAGGATGGAGAATGGGGGACCACCAGGTGAGCAGATGGCACTGTCAGAGCAGGTGGCAGAGGGGCAGGGGCAGGGGCACAGCCGATGGCTGGGACTCCCAGGGCTTCCTCGGCCTGTGTTGGATTCCAGGCCACCGCAAAGGGGTGCCAGTTAATGGGAGAAGTGCTGAGATGGTTTTCTGATGTAGGTCAAACCCATTTGGGTTCATAACCCGTGAAATTAAACAGTTTGAATCACAAAATCTCAATTTCCTTATGTATAAAATACAAATAGTGATGATACATGATTAGCATTTGACGTTAGAATTGACATGCAGAAATGTTTACTAGTTGGTAACTGTTCTTATGGTTTTTATGTATTACTTTCTTCTCAAAAGTTTTTTTGCATAATTCTTACCCCACCACACACCAAAAAAAACCTGACTACATCAGGTAGGTAACCAGAAAGAATGCCCTACAGTGCCTTGTTCCTCCAAATATTCTCCCATTAGGGTTAGGGCTCCTTTAGGACAGGTGAGTGCTTTTGGTTCTTCAATTATAGTTCATTCAAATACCCTGAGAGCAGCAACATAGTGGCTTAAGTTCCCATTTATTAATTCATTCATTTATTTATTCAACTAGACTTATTACATGCCAGGCATGGGGAAAGTGGTGGAGATTTAAACCTTGAAGAAAATGTATATGTTTTCTGCTCTAGCAGAGGGTGTAATCGGGCAGGGGACACAGGTAAAGTGATGGTTAAACCAATTGCAACGAGTGTAATAATAAGGGAGGTACAGGCGGTTATCACTGAGAGCGTGTGCAGCGTGATGGAAGGTTCCTGAGAAGTAGCTGTAGGAAAAGTTAGCCGAGCAAAGGGAAGCTGACTCTTGTGGGGAGAGCGTTCCTGATGTGGGGGAGCTGCAAGGAGGCCAGGTTTGGGTTGGGGTGGAGGTACAGAGATTATCATGAGGGGTGGGGAATGGGGGAGCAGGAAAGGGGCAATCACATTTCTTTATCAGAATTTAGCTTAGGAATGGCCCCATCAGCTTGACCGTCAACATAATACACCCCCAAGTAATCAAATGATATAATTTTCCTGAAAGTTCACCACCTACTAGCCTCAGAGCAGTAGTTGAGAATATTCCTGTGTAAAATTGTCAACCTATTTTTGTATTCTGAGCTTAACACCAGAGCTTTCCCCTGGCAAAACTGTATTATTCCTTCATTGTTAGATCCAACATGAAGGCTGCAGTGCTCTTTTCTCTTTATCTTTTATTTGAAAATGGTGGAGAAAATACCATTGCTTTTACCAAGAGAGGCTTCTTTGTCTGAGAAGATGGTGAATTTCAGACAGAAGAGAAACATTGTATTTCCTTAGCCTTGAAAGGAAAATTCAAGCTCCATTTCCTTTTCAAGTTGTTAAATATTTTAAAGGTACTACTTTGCTAAGGAGATAGCATCCTAGTGAGACTGCATTTCAAATTCCTGAAGTAAAAGTTGCTTGGGGTGTCTTAAACTCACAGCTTTCCCCGCCCCCCCTTATTTATTTATTTATTTATTTATTTATTTATTTATTTATTTATTTATTTATTTTTCCATCACCATTTATCCCTCCTCTACCCTCTTCCACCTGCATCCACAACATTGTTGTCCATGTCCAAGAGTTCATTCTCTCTTTTTTCCTTTCTTGCTCAATCCCCCCCATACCACCCCCTGCAGCTGTCAGCCTGCCCTCTATGAATCTGTCCCTATTTTGCTTGTTAGTTCAGTTTGTTCATTAGATTCTACATATGAGTGAAATCCGATGGTACCTGTCTTTCTCTGACTGGCTTATTCCACTTAGCACAATGCTCTCCAGGTCCATCCAGGCTGTGGCAAAGGGTACGCCTTTCTTCCTTCTCAGGGCTGTAAACTCACAGCCATTTGCCACAGCTAATACTTGAAGCGCACAAGCTCTCGAATCAGAACACGTGGTCCAGTGGGTGACAGGATGGTCTGAGGTTCTGCTCTGGATTCTGGGCTTGGCCATCTGGTCAGCTTTGTCATTTCAGAGGCAGAGCATAGAACCCAGCCCGAGTCTCTGCCAACGCTGCTAAGATATGTAAAGGGGAACAACTCTGTGGGTTTAGAATAGTTTTGCTTTTCTCTTGATGGCGCTAAAAGAAACGTGAGATCAAGTAAAACTGTTTATGACTTATGGACCAAAAGGTACATGAAGCATTTCTGTTGGTGGCCTCACTGCTAGGGATGTGGAGGGAGGTGTGTAAGGGATGTGAATGATCGTGAGAACAGGGCTTAGCACGTTTCCAGCATGACTCAGAGTCCAGCAAGGGGCTCCAGCAAGGATCCCACACTCAGGAGTCCTGCTCTCTCTCTTCTGGAGAGCCCTCCCCCCTGGGGTAAGGAGTCCTTGAAGTCCATGGGATAGGCCCATCTGGAGTCCTTGACTCACATTTTAGATATATTTCTGGGACCCGGGAATTCCTTCCCCAAACACCTGAGGACTTTCCAGGGTTACATGGGCATCTTCCCTGGGCCAGTCCTCCCAAAGGCAGATTCGGTGGCTGGTACACAGGTCTGAGGCCTGAAGGTGTCCCAGGCACCACTGCCTGGGCAATGGTCGGAGCCGCTGGAGGCCGTTTACGATGTGGATGGAACCGGACACGGACGGAAAGGGGAGAGCAGCCAGCTCTCCTCCCATCACCACATTCAAGTGTAGAGTTCTCAGGGCTCAGGGATCCTAAATTTGAATCTGGCCTCTTGGGTCCTATGGAGAGATGTTGGTTCAGGCAGGAGGCTAGACCATGCCACGGTGAATAGTTGATTACCTTTTAACTTTTAAATGTCTAGCCGCGGGGTGTGTGAGCTCTCATTCACAGTCTCGCCCAAGGCCTTACGAATGTCAGGATCAGGTCTGCACGCTTCCCTCCTCCTTTTCCCAGTTTCCGTGTACACTGAGAGCCCAAACTCAGCCAGGGCATTTGGACAGATTCCCCACGTCTGTCCATCTGAGCAGCACCGCTCCTGCTCACATGGAAGGTTAGAGCACAGCAGATTTAGGAAAGCCTGCCGAGCCTTGCTCCAGCTAGGATGTGGAGCCTTTTACTCAAAGACCAGCCATTTTTCCTTCAGGTGTTTGATTTCCCCACCATCTGGCTGGTACTGTAGTGTGTTTTCTTCCCTTTAATGACTTTGATTACTGAGTTAATTTCTGACTGAACAGGATCCCTGAGTTACAAGGCTGTCACACCATGAATTATCAGTCAATTACCAAGTGTTTGTAACATGCTAGGCACTGCACACTCATGACTCTCTGGCAGCCGTCAGAATTGGGCACCTCTCTCCTCCAATCCTTACAACACGGGGAACACAGGTCACAGCCAAGGAGGAAACTGCTTCTTCATGGCTGGCTGGCCCCTGAGAGGGAACATCCTGCTAGGGTCTGGGCAAGTCCAGGGCACCATGAGTTTTGGTAGAATAGTATCCTCCAAGGTGAAAATCTATGAAGGATTCTCCCATTTTCACTGAGATTGTATTTTGGGAGATAATAAATTAGAATTGCAATTCCACTTAAAGTAATGGCCAACATTTCCAGAAGCTAACACGTCACCTTTAGCCCTCTTATAGGTGAAAGATGTCAGAGGCATTCCATTTCCTCTACAGAATGATAAATTGATATTTGTTTCTTTCAAGAGTCTTGAAAAATGATAAGTGGGGGTGAGAGAGCCATGACTTTGTGGGTGCACTTGCTAATTTTCTGGGAAGTCTTGCAATCTCACTAGAAAGCAGGTATTGGAGGTGAGATCCCAGCAACAATTTCTTCCCCCAATGGAAGTGGTTCTGGCTCCCATGGCATTTAGGGACCAATGGCTACTATCAGACAATGGGCAGAGGGCCAAGTAAAGCAAGCTAGCATCTAAGAGTAGATTCTGAGGTTGTAATGGAGAGCAAGTTGGCCACGTGACTCCGAAGAACAGCTGTGGATGAAGGATTAACAGGAGCCGGGCTCGGCGCTTCCTCTC